AACTCAAATACCTCTTGAGTTTCCTTTACCGACCTTTAAGATTAGTTTTAAAAAAAATTACATTTTGATCAAATGGTTTGCAGAGTCCCAACAGTTGTGATGACTCTGAAGTGTTTGATTGAATAAAAGCTAAATTTCATCATAGCTTTTAAAACGGAACAATTAGATTACAGTTGTACTAGTGAGTCTTTTTACCAATTATATTTCAGTGCATTTCAATTAGTAGAAAATTCAGAAAACCAGCACACAATCCATCAGAAAAGCCAACATGTATTCTCCACTTTTATGCCAGTGCATCATAACCAACAATATATTAGACAACTAAAGCAACAACAACCACATCTGATATCCTGATATTTACTGTTTATCCTCAAAGCCCCGAATTTGAGTTGATGTTATGATTTAAAAACAAAAATGAGTGTTAATTGGATTTTGTTTAATATTTTTAAAGTCTACAGCATTCAACTAAAATATGAGCATTTTTTTCTATTTTGGTAGAAAAAAATTAAACATAGGAAGTCATTCCGTTTGATTCTTTTTAACTTGATGTTTACAAAGATTAAAAATGCAAAGAAAAATTTTAAACAAAATATCTTGATTAGGGTCTTGCGGTCATGACTGTAGAAGCTGGTGTCTCTGCTGTGCGCCCCAACAGTGTTACCACAAAGTTTTTAATAATGAGACAAGGGAGATTAGCAACTGAAAATGAACTAATTTCTCAAACTTTGGATGATTTTTTGTAAGGATTTTTTTTTCTTCAAATCTCTCATATTTAATTTCATGTTTAAATTACTAATCGGGGGGAAAAAAATCTAAGCTGAAAAGCTGATCTTTTCTTTTCATTCAACAAAATTTAGTATTTTGTGATGTGCAAGCTTGTTTAAAGGGAATGTTAATACAAAAAATAATTGTTTTGTTTTTATGTTGTTGGTTTTTTTTCATTGGCTGACTATGGTGTAAGTTTGCTTTTGATTGGATGATAAGAAGTTTATGACTGTTCCTTCCAATAAAAATGCAGGGAAGGAGCTGAGACCATCAAGAGCGATTTTGTTTCGCAGTCAGAATAAAAAAATTTAATCAACTAACCAGATGAATTTTTTATATATATCGTTTTGTGCAACATACTCTCTTCTGCTTTCCTTATTTTTGTGTTAATAACAGCAGTGTTTGTTTGCTTCATCCAAACATGAAAGTGTTCAGTCAGTAATCCTTGACTTTCTTTAAAAGTGTGTTGTTTATTTTATTTCATCTTTGCATGCTGTATTATGTTGAAAAAAATCCAAATTGAGAAACCAAATGCAAAGCAAAATGTGAAGTGTGAGTGCAGGAACAAGGGGGGACCTGGAGGCATCAGATTCCCTATAGAGCAAAGAACAGAAGGAACCAGTATACACGATAAAATCAGACAGCTTATATAGAAAGACGAGTCAGGAGAAAAGGGATGGAGAGCAGGTGGGACTAAAAAGGAAAATATGAGATACTGCTAAGGTAAATTAAAGCAAAAGTAAAGAAAGACCAACACTGGATCTCTACTTAATAAAAAACAGAAATGCTGGGAGGAATCTAAAGAGGAAGTCTTTCTCTACAATGATCTAAACCCAAAGTCAGCATTCTCTTGAACTGTTTCTGTGTGTTATAATGAGACTGATTGCAAATTAGATTATAAGCAATAAAATAGTTCAATGCATCATAACCGATGTAGCACAAACATTTGGAAAATGAGTGTTGCCTCAAGTGATAAACAGGACTGATATTTACACTGGCCTCGTCAGATAACTGCATGATGGCCACTTGTTCAGCTGTTTTTGCCAGTTTGGAAAGGATCCCATGTTTTTTTGTTGACCTTTTATGCAGAAATATCTGTGGTATTGTCATGCTATGTGCTGTGGGGTCATCCCATAATAGAGCTGGCAGGAGGGGCAGGGGCCTGGAGGGGGCGGGTCAGCACATGTGATTGACCATAAGACAGCTCAGTTTTGATTTGTGAGGGAGTTTGTTTGCTGTTTTTCCCAACCCTCTGATTATTTGATTCACAAACGTATGAGGTTGTTTAAAGAGCTTATTTTACAAAGAAATTAGGTTGATGTTAGGGTCAGAATTTGTTGCCTGAATAGGAGGGAAAAGGCAAATATAAGGACATCTTGATAAGAAAAAAACAAAATAAGGACTGAAACAAAAATTAATTATCTAAATGGCGATGTTATATTAGACACACGAGCCTTTGGAAAAAAGGATTCTCTGAGTATGGTCTCGCTTTTTAAGGGTTCTGTTGTTTCAAAATAAAAGAAGCTGCAGTAATTTACCATATGCCATATTTTCTTTTTTTTTTATATATATATCCCTGCCCAAATTTCTTCAGATAACTCCTGTTTAATGTAAATTATCATGTTGACTAATGTGTTTTATTCTAAATCAAGTTGAATTATTCATATTTAACACAGCTTGAATCCAATCAATTTGTTGAAACAGCTTAAGGATTATATAAGTAACAGGATGTATCTGACTTTAGTTTTTAGTGTCACATGAAAGGCTGTGAATACTTATGTACCTGTGACCTTTTTACCATACCTAAGAGTTTTTTTTTTTTTAACTAAGGCATTTATATAGTCAGTATTCACCAAACAGATCAGGACTCCAATATTTTCTAATAAAGGTTTATCTACTGTACATTCACATTCTTTCTTCCTAATGAAGAAAGTTTCCTTAAAGCTGCCTAAAAATTGTCCTTTTACTTTGATAGAGATATAACAACTATGGACAATCCTATTGTGGTTGTTATTTATTGGACACATTCACAAGCCAGGTGAATAAGTAAGGAGGTGAAGTTGCCGAAATAAATGAGTACAAGAGAAAAATGATCATAGATGATCAGTTAATTTAAAAGGCATTTTATTAGGTGTGTATGTGTTTAGTTCTGTCCTAACAACCCCTCTCTGCATTACTGCTGTGAAAATGTGGACCCAGTCTGTTGTAGGAGCAGGAGGTAAACGGGTGTGGCCTCAGGCTTACTACCACTGATTCATACTTACACACGCTACTACAAGTGCAGTGAGTTGACCCACATCACGCAAAGAAAGCCAAAAGGAGGAGACAGGCCCTCAGATAATCCCATGGGCTTTAAGCCAGTTGGCTGTGGTTAATGGACTCCATTTAGGCAAAATTTAATGAGACTGTCTGCACGTGCATCTAGTTACAGAAATGTTTAGCTTTAGCAAATAAAGTTCATCTTACCTGGCAGAGAGAAAAAAAAAAAAAAAAAAAAAAAAAAAAAAAAAAAAATATATATATATATATATATATATATATATATATATATATATATATATATATATATATATATATATATATATATATATATATATATATATATATATATATATATATTTATATATATATAATGCAACAAATGAAAGAATTTCATTGGATCACATTCTGTGGGGAGCTCTTAAACTCCTCCACTGATATTTAACAGCAAAAGTAGAAGCACAAAAAGAGAGGGAACTCTGACCCTTACTCTTACACAATCTGTCCAGTTTGGCCTTGAACCTTTTTAATGTTATCTAGTTTTTAACTCAACTCATTTAGGTTTTCAGGTCTGCAGACTGAAATGGACAAAAAATAATAATAATAAAAAAATAATACATTTTGTGCTTTGTGAGACATTTTATTTCCTGATGTTTTTGATCAATACTCTGTTGAAAAATTAAAAAACAGAAAAAAAATTCTAAACTGAAATGCTCAATATTGTTGTTTTAAAGATTAAATGATTGTGTTAAACAAAGGAATTTCCTATGGCGTCCCTTATGAAACAGAAACAAATAAAAAGAAACTAGTAGTAAGTAAATGGAATACCAGACAGACAAAGCCCCTCTGGTAGGCCAGCAGCATGGTTTGATTTAAACTGATGAGACTATTTACATTTAGTATTTGAGTTTTGATTTATCCGTATATCAACAAAAATTATCTAAAAAAAAAAATAAAAAATGCTACTCACTCACACGTAATTTCACAGGAGTAAAAATATCATACATTAATTTGTTTCCCTGACACATACTATACATTTAACTGCATTTTAAAGAAATCAACATCTATGAGGTTTATTTTTATGTCTCTAGACACATTTAACACGTCAACAGTATTATCTGGTGTATGGCATTCAGAATATGGGAGACCAACTCTGCCATATTTAAAATTAAATACAGAAATAAATAAACGCTCAATAAATAAGCATACAATTAATTGCCCCCAAAAACACAATAAACAAATAAATGTAGGTAGAAATTAATTTATACAGTGAGACATATATGCATCACTTTTAATTAGCTTTTTTATTTATTCGCCTTTGTAATAATTATCATATTTATTTATTGGTCATTATAATCTTCAACTTCATTTATTTATTACTTATTTTTTGAAGTATTTATTTATGTGCAAGATATAACATTTTTTTTTTTTTCTTCCTTTGTATTTTTTTACCCTCTTTATTTCTTCAACACTATTTCTGTCTGTCGTTTTTACATTTCTGTATGCATTTGTGCCTTATTATGCAAATAAGGAATGGGGTGTGTCTCAGAGGGGCAACTTCTTATAAAGCACAATAAATAAAGATATTTATAAAGATATAAGATATTTATTACAAAGGCAAATAAATAAAGAAGCTAATTAAAAGAGATATATACATTTATGAGATATATACATTTATGTATATATCTATTTATTATTTAATTTCTGCCTACATTTATTTGTTTATTGTATCTTTGGCGGAAATTTATTTTATGCTTATTTATTTATTGAGCATTTATTTATTTATGTATTTGTTTTTTAAATATGGCAGAGTTGGTCCTCCATATCAGTGTACATTCGTTTTTTTGTTGTTTTTGTTTTTTTTTCTTGAAGACATATGAGAAAAGTGGATAGATGCTGGCGCAGTCTACAGGAGGAGACACCGACCATAATGAGTAACTTATTTGCAAAAAACAACATCGAAGAAGAAGTAGTTCCAATTTCCTGTTCCGGGTCCCGTAACAGAAACGTCGCGTGAACGGCGCGGCTAAACGTAAAGTTTTATAGGAAAACTTAAACGTTTTTGCATTTTAAACACCTAAAATCTGTTCTTCTTTATCCAGTTTGTACAACATACGTGTATCCGGAGGTCTATCTTCAAATACGAAAGGTTTGAAAAGTTTTTTTTGCAACGAAATACTTAAGTGTTTGTAGCTCACACACAGTAGTGTGCTAACGTCGGTTAGCAGGTTACGGTGGAGTTTTGGCGGATGTGATTGATCCTAGCTAAGTTGTTGCTCCTTGTTAGCATAAGTATCCACACGCCGTAACATAGTATTAAATAAGTCACTGATATACTTCATTTTTTGTCTAAATATTTGTAATTTGGATAACCTTTGATAACGTTCGTGCAGCTCTCGGTGACTGTGCTTATGCAACGTCTTGTTTGAGACATCAGATCACAGGAAGATTCAGTTAAATATAGGATTTTTTTACCCATTAAAATCAGCGTGTGAGATGAACGTAGATTTGTAACGTTTCTGAACTGATTTGTCTTGCAGTATTAGAGGATGTCTCTGCCAAAGCGGGAGGTGGAGGAACTGAGACCCTGGGTGGAGCGCACTGTGAAGAAGGTCCTGGGTTTCTCTGAGCCCACAGTGGTCACCGCAGCTTTACACTGCGTGGGGAAGGGGCTGGATAAAAAGAAAACCATAGGTAAACTAACTGACCCAACGTGTCCTCATACTTTTACACAACTAAAACAGAGTCAACTAGAGACTTAAACATATTTATTTTGTCATTTTGTGTACACGAATGTAAACAAATAGAGATTTCGTTAAGAACAGCTCACCAGACATTTTCATTTTTAAGTCCATCCATCCATCCATCCTTTTTCTTACAAGCTTATCCCAAGTCGCGAGGGGTGCTGGTGCCTATCTCCAGCAGTCAGTGGTCGAGAGGCGGAGTACACCCTGGACAGGTTGCCAGTTCATCGCAGGGCAACACAGAGACACACAGGACAAACAACCATTCACACACACACTCACACCTAAGAGAAGCCGATTAACCTAACGGTCATTTTTTTGGACTGTGGGAGGAACCCGGAGTACCTGGAGAGAACCCAGGCATGCTCAGGGAGAACATGCAAACTCCATGCAGAAAGACCCTTCAAACCCAGAACCTTCTTGCTGCAAGGCAGCAGTGCTACCCACTGCGCCACTGAGCAGCCCGATTTATTTAAAGTTCAGCCTTGAAAACAGTAAAAAAAAAAAACAATATAAACGTATGACTGTATATTTACAGTTCTAACATTTCAGGTTGTATTTTTTTACTATGGGGCTAGCCTTCTACACTACAGGTTAACTTGAAAGTTAGTCAAAATATTAGGACCAACAGAACGCAGTAAAAGACTTAATTTTTTTAAATGAAGTACATCAAGTTTGACAAATGGAGTTAATATTACTGTCCAGAAACTGGTTATTTCATGATTTAATTACTCATATTTACACAAGTAATTTCATTTAGACTGGTGGTCATCTCCCATACAACAGGAGAACTGTATCATAGACACAAGATTCAGTTACATAGTCACAACTATGTAACCGTGTCACACATTCATGTTTCATTTATGATTGAAAGCTCCCATGGTTGACTGCAATCACACAAATTCTACACCATAAGATGTAAACAGGATTAATGCGGTATTACTTTTAAAATCTCTTTTATTTAAGAGCTTCCATTTTAAAATAATTGCACAGAGTGATCCCAAAGCACACCATGTGATGTTTTTGCATATTGCTGTATGGTCATTTTTCATTGTTATGTTGTTTAAAGAAAATTTTAGGGTTTGTTTTATGTTTTACCTTAATGAGCCATACCATCAGTTTCTTATTGGGTTATTTGTTTGTCAAAAATATGTATTCTTTTCATTTAATTATATTTTAATTGGGTTGGAAATTTGAATTATTTATATGAGGCTTAAAGGGGAATTTAGACTTTTTGTTCAAAGAGTAGTTGCAATCGTTTCTCACCATAATAATCATTAATCATAGAACTGTATCCGTTTATTTTTTGTAAACAAGGGTTTGGCAACATGGATTTGAAATGTCATCACTTTCTTTTTGGCATTTATTTCAATGATATTAGATTGAAACAAATATCACTCTGAAAAAGTTAAATGTGATCAAATAGATTATTTTACTTTAGTGTTTAGCTGTCCTGCTAAACACTAATTGATAACTGCATCCAATGCTATTTTCAATGGTAAATTCATGATTTGTTTTTGTTATAAAAAAAAAACACGGCTGAAAATATAGTTCTACCAATCCTGAGCCTCCTAACAGTTTGGAGGTTTGCAAATGTCAGAGATTGTTATTAACAGATTGTAACTAATTGTTATTCCACTATTACTTTCTTTTTTGCTTTACCCAATGATTTCTAGGAGTTGATTAATTTGTCATTTCTAGCAAACACACACACATAAGCACAGTATGTGCACAAGGAATTAAAACAAATGTGCCAAATCTAATGTGGTACTTTAATTCAAAACAGAAAAGCAACAATTACCAATTCTTAACACAATAACAAATGATTTTACAGCTATGGTAGGGGTTTCTATTCCATTAATCTAGATTTTAATACATGGATTAAAGCAAAAGATTAAATAAACAGCCATAAACTGCAAATATAGTTTCCTTGTAAACATAGTAATTGCACGGAATACTCCCTTTGTACTACTCTGAGTTTGTAGTACTAGGAATACTTTGAAATGAAATTAGATGTTTAATTAGTCAGGCTATTTGCTGAAGTTCAGCTTATAGGTGAATACTTAACACACCGGTCTGCTTTATATTTAGTTTATTTTTACAATCAGTTTTTTCTTAGTGATATGTAGGTAAAACGTAAGCTATTTTGGGGTGGATTTTGTGATATAATAATTAGCTTAACCAGCTGTTTGAAAATCAAATGATTTTAGTTGTAATTCTTTTCTTTTAAAGAAATCTTGTGCTTTTGTTTTGTCCAATTTTCTCCTCAAGTAATGTGGTTGATGTTTATAGGAATGATAAAGTCAAGGTATCACTTTTTCAAGATTCTTAAGGATGCTTGGTTAAAATGTCAGCGATTGGGTGATTGTGCAATGGAAAAAGGGCAATTATATGCTGAGTGCTTTTTGAGATTAGTAGTTTTCTCTTCTTTTTTTTTCTTTTTTTTTTTTTCTTCTGTATAGCTTTCAGGGCAATCTGTCATATTCAAACCTACACATTAAATGATTAGGAGAAGTGTTTGCAAATGATTCTGTATTCTGCTAAGGTTATCTTTCAAAAGTTTTTTTACTGACATTGATTTACTGTTAGGTACTTAAGTTTTTTGTTTTGTTTTTGCCCTCAGACCAGCTGCGTCCGTTCCTCGATGACTCTGCAGGAGGGTTTGTAGAGCGTCTGTTCGAAGCCCTTGAGGAAAGCCGTAGCAGCCGGGGCAGCAAGGGTGGAGGTGAAAAGAACCGGAAGAGAGAACTTAAGGTAACACAACTTAAAACTAGTTTTTCATAATTTATACAGATTTTATTAAAACTAGGAGTTGGAGACTAGGTGAGGAAGTACACAACAATGGTGTGTTTGCTTCTGATTTGGCTCTTTGGACTTAGGATGTCTTTGGAGAGGAGGCAGAGAAGGGGGCACTGAAGGCAGCTAAAGATACAGGAGATGGAACATCAGTCAAGAGAAAACGAGTCCCACGCTTCCAGGAGGTGGAGGAGCCTGAGGTTGTTCCTGGAACGCCATCTGAAAGCCCTGCTATGCTCACCAAAATGCAGGTAAAATAAATGTGGTGCAGCTCAAATGTACCAAATCTTAAATTATTTATTTATTTATTCTAAATACACCTGTCATTTATTTTGCAAAACAGATCAAACAGATGATGGAAGCAGCCACTAAACAGATTGAAGAAAGGAAGAAACAGCTGAGCTTTCCATCACCAGCCCCATCTGCAACAGTAATTTTCTATACAAACTTTATAGCAAAAACAAAGTTTAGACAGTTTTAAAATATCCATTATTTGACTCTGTGAACGTTTTGTTTGACTATCTGACTTCTGTGGTTGTCCTTTCTCACCATTACAGGCAGATGTGTCCCGGCTTCCTGGTAATCCTGCTAGTGGAGGAGCCTCATCAATCGCCCCCTCTCAGGCTGCCAGCTTTATGAATGATGCGATAGAAAAAGCCCGCAAAGCAGCTGAGCTACAGGCCCGGATCCAGTCTCAATTGGCTATGAAACCTGGTATCCTAGGCACTTTGGGAAACGCAGGCCCTCCAAACTTTGTCACCCTTGCCAACCTGCACGCGATGGGAATTGCACCACCGTCAGTGACAACTTGGAAAAACATTCTTATTTCATTTGCAAAACAAGAAAATTGGAGGCCAGGATGTTCATAGCACCTGGAATGATTTTTTTTTATTTCTTGTGGGAAATTACAGGAAAGTTGAAGCAAAGGAGGTGAACAAACCAACACCTCTGATTCTGGATGACAAAGGCAGAACTGTTGATGCTACAGGAAAAGAGATTGAACTCACACACCGTATGCCCACCCTCAAAGGTAAGTGCTTGGTTATTATTAAATGAAGATGTTTAAAACTCGTTTATTATTTGAACAGTAATGAGATTTTGAAACATTGGTGAATTGAAATAGAAATATTTTTGAGACCTTTTTTCCCATGTTGCATTTAGAATTCGGGTAAAAGAGTGGAAATAATTTATTTAATTTCTAGGGATATTATATCTAAACATAGTGCCAGTGAGATACAGAATGTATAGTTATATAGTTGAGATATATATATGGATCTCATCTATAAGACATATTTGTGGTGTATGACAGTGTTTCCCAACCTTTTTTTTATTTGTTTACCCCTTTGGTCATTTTGTCTTACCATGACTACCCCTCTCAGTCAAAAGTATTGATGATTGTCCAAAATTGGAATGTACAATAACTAAATATAAAATAAAAAATATTTTACTTAATCTTTTAATTTGAGCACTTAATTATTAGGCATTTAATGCTTTCAGTCTCAAATAAAAAACAACATAAATATGTTTCCTGGAAGTTGGTAATGAATCAAAATAAAATAATTTTTTAACCCTTTATTTATAAAACTGGAGCTCCTTTATAATCACATTTAAACTTGATAAATTGGGAAAAAATTATAGAACAAAAATTATCGTCAGACTGACTTAAGTTTTACTTTGTTTTAATCAAGACACCTGAGCTGCTTTGATGAGCTCCGATAGATCAAGGTGAAAAACAGCTGATCCCAGGCTGTTCTCTATATCCGGTCTATTCCTCTGCTTAGTTTGGATGAACAATTTAACAAAAACGTGTTTAATTGTTCAATTGGGTTGTTACAAAGCAAAGCCGATCCCAGCGCTATTTTATTTTACTGCCTTAGAAATAAAATATTTAAATGTAACCCCTTGCAATGCATGTTCCCCCGGCTGGTATTTAGTGGTGTATGGGATTATTTTTCATACCATAAATACTCAAAACGTCTATTGTCACTCCATTGTACAGCTTTGTTTTGGAACCTTAACAGAAACAGAACTGAGTACGCATTTTAACAGCCTAAAGTAGCCTCACCTTAAAAAGGTGACACCAAAGTAAAAAGGAGGATTCACACTTTCACTAAACTCTGCTGTTTGGGAATAATAGGGTTTTCTTTTATGTTTTTGAGTTTACCAAAGTCAACTCCATGCATTTATTCAGTAAAATATTATTAAATGTTAACTATATATTAATATAAAATATTTGTCAATATGCAGTATTCATTTATTATGAAATAATATTTGATACTTTAACCTTTTCTTTTAACCTGCTGCTCTACATCTCTCCATGTGGAAGCCACACATTTCATGATGTTACGCTAGAGCTGCCGCATCATTTTTTTATGCTACATCTAGCAACTGGCCTCTTCTTTAGGAAGGCTAAACAAAGTCAGCACTTACAGCGAAATCTTTTCCCAAACTTTAGGGCCCTTAGATACTTGATTGGACTGTTTTCAGGCTATGAGCTGCATGAAGTCTGCATGTATGCTTCAGGCTTCTTAGTCATAACTATATTTCTCATGGCAAATACCTATTTTCTGTCCCCACTGCACAATGACAGGAGTGTGGTCAGAAGGACAATGCTCCAGGGAAGTGAGGCGGCTGTGACATTATGCTGCATTCACACCGGCATCGAAAATACGCTAACACAGAAATCTGGGCGCTGGGTCAGACGCTGGATCAAACTGTGGTCAACTTTCTTTGATGCTCTGGTTGTTTATCTGCTCTGTTTTGTAGCTTCAAGCTAGAGAGCAGCTTGGCTTTCATTTATGAGTTGGAAAAATAGTTTTAACACATTTTTAAGGGAGAAAGTCCACCTCCAAACATCATCTCTGCAGTCAGTTCATCAGGATTATGATGCTACAAAAATATGCAGTTATTGTTCTGAGTGCCAGACCGCCAATAGGCAGCGCTGGAAATCACCACTGAAAGCTGGCTGCTGCCGGCAGCAGACAGCTTTCAGTGGCTGGAAGTGACTAAAAGGCGTTGTTATGGTTTTGGGTAAAAACTGCGAGTACCAGAACATACAATCAAATATTTTTCGTCGGCAGGCTGTAAGATTTTTAGTTAATTTCTTTATTTATAAGTTTTTTTGTCATAGTTCATAAATAAATGTTTTATTGCAGCAATAATAATCAAAGCTCCCTCTCTTTTCCTTCTACATAACAATCCATTCTTCCTGCTTTTTTTTTTTTTAACCTTAGAGTTTTTTTGTTTTGTTTTTTGAGTTTTTACGGCACTAGTGTCTCATTTTTATTTATTTTTTTGACAGTAGGCTGACAGGAAAGGGCATGTAAGAGAGGGGAAGAGACATGTAGCAAAGGACCACAGGCCGCATTAGAACCCGGGTCGGCAGCGTCGAGGACTAAGGCTTCCGTACATGGGTCGCATGTGCTAACCAAAGTGCCACCTGCACGCCTTAACCTTTGGATTGTTATTCTATCTGCAGAAGCGATGACAGCTTGGAAGTAGTGGCTCTCTTCCCCAAAAAAACTCCTAGATTAGCTTTTCTGATTGGTTGATGCTTCGGCGTCCAGTGGCAAAGTTCAATTTACTGAACTGCAGCATCAAACGCTAGGATGCCAGAACGCTCAAACGCACTGCTCCTGATACGCCACTGGACCCCTCGACGCTATCCCCCATAGGCTTTGCATGTAAACCAGATGCTTTGACGTCCAGAACACACCTGATGTGAATGCATTAGAGGTCCTTGCGACTGGCTGCTCCGTGCAGTGTATTGCTGCCCCCCTATAAACCCAGGAAGCCTGGTCAGCTCAGTGTCACAATTAAAATGCAAGTGAATATCATTGCTGCAAGCTCTTCCAGGATTACCATGTCCTGGAAATCTCAGAGGTTTTACTCTGACATGCATGAATCAAGCAAAATACCACTTCCGGCTTGGTTTTTAAGAACGAATAGCATTATAACGTTAAAAACTGAAAGTTAATTGTGTATGATTTAGGCCCTTTGATATTTCTCACGCAGCTAGTGGAGGAGACATAAACCAGACCGAAACTTTGTATCTGAACGTCCTCCCTAACTCCTATATAGATGTCTGTACAGGGGTTACACCATTTTATACAAGTGTCCGAACGTCTGAAAACGGATGAAAAATCTGTGAACTCAAAATTTCCCATGATGCAACTTAAGAAGTAGTGTGCATACATAATCACTAGATGAGCATATATATCCTAGAATGCTTTGCAAGAGCTCTCATAGCAAGCATCATGTGATTTGTTATGTGGTGGGGAAAAACAAAGATGGTACAGGCACTGTGCGCGGAGGCGGAGTTACATCACCAACTGGGATCCAAAATTAGACAAAATCAGTCCGAACAGTCAATTAACTTTTTCACTATGAAGTCCAATATATAGTCCCTGCTCTATAGAGTGATTGATTTTTTCTTTTTTTGACATATGTCAAAGGAAAAAGTTAGAAAATATCAACTATATATACTATGAAGCTTTTCATACTTATTAATAACATAGTTACAGACCCAATTTTTGAGGTGGTCTCGTTCCTCTTCCAAGTGGACCTCGGTGCAGTTCCTTTCAGGTGTGAATACAAACCCACATAGGTCTGACCAAAATATACGAAGCCTACATCTCCCTTGACTTAGGAAGCCATCGTAGTATTAAACAGGCCATTTCTCAATTCACTAGACACCAGTATGGACTTGTGTCCTTGGCAAGTTCTTGACAAGAACACAGGAAAATATGGATTCGGGGAGAACGGGAACACGCAGCTGAAATATCGGTCAATTGGAACAGAAGCGTACTCATGACATCACCACATTCAAAGCTAGTCTGGAGCTGCATTTTACCTCCTGTAATGAATAGTTTCTAGGTAATAATAAATTTTGAATTTATTTTATTTAGCGGTGTAATAATAATTAACAAAGTCTGATAAAGACAAATAAAAAAAACCGTTTACCAAACGCCATCAGAGTCGGCGGTACTTCACACACGGCTATGCCAAGGAATAGCTGCTGCTAAAATTATGCACTAAATCAGTAAATGGGCTAGATAGTGAAGCTTAAAGTATATTGTTCTCGCCTCAAATGATTTTAAAACGTACTTTTATAGAACAATGGCAACAGAAAAGAGAACTTTTAACTTTAGCGCTGGGAGTCTCTACTGGAAGCTGCCGCGGTGCATGCTGGGACAGCTGTCAGTCTTGAGAAAGCACAAGTCTGCTCTGATGCATGCTCTGTAAATAGGGAGGGGCAAGAACATCATCTGGGGAGTTTGTTTGTTCTGGGTTTTGTGTTTTTGTTAATTGGAACAATGCTGGGGCTCCCGTCCGGTTATTATAAATATTTCATGTTATCTTATATTGTTGACTATGGAAACTGCTCTAAATGGTGTCCTGTCCCTGTACAGCTAACATACGGGCTGTAAAGAGGGAGCAGTTTCGCCAGCAGCTGAAGGAGAAGCCTGGAGATGACATAGAGTCTACATCCTACTTTGACCAGCGTGTACCAATAACACCCGCTCAGCGAGCTCGCAGGGGCTTCAAATTCCACGAACCGGGCCGCTTTGAGAAGATTGCTCAGAGAGTTCGAACCAAGGTAGAAATATAAGTTCTCTATCTTAAGATTTATTTTTTGTTTAATGGAACATGTTGCATCTTTAATGCCTTCTCTTGGTCTAACACACTCAGGCTCAGCTGGAGAGGCTGCAGAATGAAATTGCTCAGGCTGCAAAGAAAACAGGAATTCAAGCGTCCACCAAGCTGGCACTGATTGCTCCGAAAAAAGAGATTGGAGAAGGGGAGGTTCCTCATATTGAGTGGTGGGACTCGTTCATATTACCATCCAACACGGCCATGTAAGGAAATCAATGAGGCTTTTTGGCTAGACGTTGTATTCTTGACAGTGCTGATTAAATATTACAGATAACAGATGTGAAAAAATGACTGACTTATTATTCTCCTTTTCTGTTTCCCGGTTGACCAGAAATCCGGACTCAAAATTTGAAGAGTTTGACCTTTTTGGTGTAACAAACTTAGTAGAACATCCCGCTCAAATTAGTCCACCAGGTAAGTTATGGTTTAGAAATTCAGAGTTTTAAACTTCTGCTGTATTGTATTTTATTATAACTTTTTGTTACTATACTTTACTTGTCAAACCTATTATTACGAGTGGTTCAAAATCCGGCATTAGCTAATACCCTTTCCCACTTCAATCCTCTTTGAGCTTAATAAAACCAATACCCACTCAACAATGCTGTAACTATTAATACAGTATAACAGCTCACTCAACAGTGACAAAGGTTGATATTTTTACTCTGCCTATGCTGCCCTAATGCAATAGTTTAATTTAGTTAAGAAGCATAAACTTTAAATCTTTTTATCTGACCTAGCCTGCCAAGTGTCTGTTCAAGTTGCAGATCTTTACCTTTTTAATAACGTTAGCTTTATTTTACAGCTCTTAAGTGTCTTTTATTGCCTTTGTTAAACATTTCCTGATCCTCTATTAAAATCAGAAATTGGTCCAATATCATCTAAAAAAAACTGTATAGAAATATATGGCCCTATATGCTGAATATTGTCTGTGTTTAGAGTAGCCCATTGGTTTATAATAAATGGATCAATTGTTCTCATAACTGTTTTTTTGTTGACTGTTAGAATATATTTAATTAATGTTGATTTGGTATTGGGTCTATATTGTTATCATGCAAGTAATCAAACTGCAAAATTGGTTTGGTTTTAGAAAAGTAAATTTGTATTGCAACACCTCTAGTCTTTATCATAGTTTTTTTTTTACTCTCGATTATATTAATATAAATTCAAAAAGCAGATTTTGTCCTTTGCCCATGACTAAAGCATTCTGATGTCGTTATAGTTGTCCTCATTACTAGTGGCTGCATTTCTCTCCTCCAGTTGACACAGACAAACCAGTAACATTAGGAGTGTACCTTACAAAGAAGGAACAGAAGAAACTTAGGAGACAAACACGGAGAGAAGGACAAAAGGAAGTTCAGGAAAAGGTTCGCCTTGGACTGATGCCTCCACCAGAACCAAAAGGTACACATATAGATATGGTAGGGAACAATTACTTGGTTGGATCAAGTTGAATGTTGCTATTGATGTTTGTTTCTATTCTGTCAGTACGTATCTCTAATCTGATGCGAGTCTTGGGGACGGAGGCTGTTCAGGATCCCACTAAAGTAGAAGCACACGTGAGGGCGCAGATGGCCAAGAGACAAAAGTTTGTAACATCATCAAGTTTGCAACATCAATTCAAAGACTAATCATCTTGGCATTTCTTTTAAAATCAAACTGATTTTTTTTTTTGTTGTCAAACTGCAGAGCTCATGAAGAGGCCAATGCAGCTCGTAAGCTGACAGCAGAGCAGAGGAAAGAAAAGAAGGTTAAGAAGTTAAAAGAAGACCTTACTAATGGTGTTCATGTTTCAGTGTACAGGTAAGCAAAGAGGATATGAATCACTGATTGTGCCAAAATATGTGTTATGATCAGCAATTGTGGCCCAGTTTAACATTCTATGGCTGTCGTTTAGGATCCGTAACCTGCAAAATCCAGCAAAGAAATTTAAAGTGGAGGCAAACGCCAACCAGCTGTACCTGACGGGCACAGTGGTTCTGCACAGAGACGTCAATCTAGTTGTAGTGGAGGGAGGTAAGAATTTATGCTTTGATCTATGTAGAAGTGGTACGTTTCATATTTTAAAGGTTAAGATCAATGTGTTTGCCAAGGCTGTGTGTAGATTTAGCATCAGCTAAAGGAAGATTAGAAATGGACATAGCAGTAAATAAATAAAATTGATAAATTAATACATGGAACTTTTATTGATCTCACAATGTTGAAATTAACTCTCTGCATTTAACCCATCTCCTTTGGGGAGCAGTGAGCTTTTTGCTTGAATTACAAAGGCTATTCATTTAAATTAAGTAAAATGGGAATTTTTAACTGTTATTTAATTCTTTCATGTATTAAAATTAACCAGATAATATGGAATAGATTTGTATTCATTCAGGTCAGTGTTTTATTGTCGAGACATTCTGATCTCAAAAAGATAGGATGATCTTTAAATTTTTGTGTTAAATAAGAAACCAAAACCACCTTTTGTTGGGTCATTAGTTTACATCTTTATTGTTTATCTTACCGATGGTTCAAGTGAGCTCATGGTGCTGTTTTCTTTTAAAACATAAAAACCTGAACTTTTATGCTTCTTAGAAAAGCTCTTTATGTTGTCCCAACTAGCAACTGCACATCTCCTCCAACACACCATCCGCAGGGGGTAAACTGACAGTGAAGAATTGTAAATTGTACAGCCAGAGCCATAATAATGAAAATGTTTTGTTTAAACATTATACAGAATGGGCAAAAACATCACTCTAGATGTATTGAGACAAGGAGGCTGAATAGAAAAATGTTCTCGACATCTTTAGACAATTATAAGAAATGTGAAAGATAAATCTTACTATTTTAACTTTATAAACAGGCACTACTTGTGATATATCACATAAAATGGTGTTAATATGACAGAACCTGGAAAAAATAACTGATGCAAGTCTTTAATGAGATTATGTTTGCTTATTATGTTAGTTAGATGCGTTGCAAAAAATACATCTAACACTATTGGATTGTTTACTGTTTTTAAGTGTTTTTGCAAACCAATAAATTTTTTTGCAACTAAAAACAAAAGTATTTTGGTGTTAAATACATTTTGATTTTGATCTTGCACTTAAACCTTGATTTTCTGTTTCCATTTTAGGCCCTAAAGCCCAGAAAAAGTTCAAGAGGCTGATGATGCACAGAATTAAATGGGAGGAACACAACAGTAAAAGAGATGGTACAATTGTTTTCAGTCTGGTTTGATTTTTGGGGAGGGGGGGCTTAATACCTGGGAAACCTTATTTAATATTTATCTCTTAGATCCAGATGGCGATGATGATACCAGGAGAAACAACAAGTGTTGGCTTATTTGGGAGGTCGGTGTGCCCACGTTCTACATCTTGCAGGCATATCTTTAATTTTGTTGCTTCCTCTGTATTATCTAATGCCAACTGTTTCTTCCTGCTCCACAGGGGACGGCTAAGGAGCGGAGCTTTGGAGAGATGAAGTTCAAGCAGTGCCCCACTGAGAACATGGCTCGAGAGCACTTCAAGAAGCACGGCACAGAACACTACTGGGACTTAGCGCTGAGCCAGAGTGTGTTGGAAGGCACAGATGACTGAAACAAACCAGTGGAGTGGTTGATTTAGTCAGTGACTACCAGCGTCAAGCCTGCAGATCGCCTGCCTAAAAGCCAGCCGCCCCATCTGCTGGTTACTGGATGGACATAGGCTTCACTAAGACACTTGAACATAAAAAAGGAGCGACAACGAACATGTGCGAGTCATTTCTTCTGCTTTTTTTTTTTTGTGAGAATGGTATGGATACAGGTGTGTGTAGATAAGTATGTGTATAAATCTGCAGCGTCTTGCTCACAAAGGCTTTTTCTGTCTGACTTTAATTTTTTTTTTTTTGTGGACGGATTGCCCAGTTCAATATAACAACTTTTCAAAGGCATAATGTGGTGAGGAGATCTGTTTACTATGACTGATAATTTTGTGATTAAGATGTAAACTTGTCTCAATCCATTTAAACTGAAAGAGTTTAGAACCCCCCCCTTATTAGAAACAACTATCACAGGTTTTGTGTTAACTCAGTGAAAAATGCACACGAAACCAAAACCACACAAGCTTTCCCCCCGAAAACTAGGATCCAAAATGCTTTAATGCAAGTTTCATTGAATAAAAGCGTTTTTTTTTTTTGGGCTTTGTAGCTACCCTTCACTCATACCATAGCGGTTTCTGCCTCAAATAAACAGAAATACAACAAATTTTGCCTCCTATTTTTTCTAAAGAATTTAATATAGTGTTTTTTGCACCTTTTTTTCTTTTCTTTTTTTATTAAACCACTGGGGGCGTGTGTTCCCCCTCCCTCCTCGCTGCTCGCCTTCTTTACCCCAACCTGCTTCATCCCCAACATCAGTAGGCAGAACAGGCAAGATGGCGGCCGGTTCAGGAGCAGCAAGCGGACAGGGAGCCCGCAGCTCCACTGCTTCTTTGGAAGCCTCACTGGACCGCCGTTTTCAAAAAGTTTCCAACACTATGGAGTCTATACAGAGCCTCTCGGCTTGGTGCATTGAAAACAAGAAACACCACGGCCTTATTGTTCGCTACTGGATGAAGTGGTTGAAGAAATGTGAGTAGCTCGCCTCCGAAGCTACGCTGCTAGCGAGCTTACTTCAAGCTAATTTAATGACATGGCTCCTCTACGCGCTGTTTGCAAAATTCACCTAAAGCTATATGTGGAGAATCTGCAGTACTGTACGTTGCATCACAAAATGTGTCTTTAGTGTCTTTTAAACGTGGAAATTAAAGTATTCGCGTGTTGCGTTACTTCAAAATAGCTGCTAACGTAGCCAACGTCTCTGAGGGGAGTGTTTACACAGGGGCCGCTAAGAAACAACAGCTGCTAAAAACAAATTAGCAATGAAATTGTCTTAAATTAAACTCACTCCTAGTTGTGTGATCTCAGTTCTACCAGTACATAAATAGCAGAGAATGTAAAGTTTTTGCAGAGTGTTTTTAGTTTTAGCATCTCCTAAAAAAATATTAACGTATGTTTTTGACCCAATATGTTGTATTTAAACATGGAGTAAAACGTTTGAGGTGGCCTCTTCAGACAACAAAAAAATTCATATTAGACTTACATTTAAATACTGATTGCTAGTATATTTTATAAAACAAATTAAACTGCTTCTTTATATTTTATTGCCACTATTAGAAAGTGTAATGTTATCTGCAAAATTTAATTAGGTTTGTTAAGTTAACATTTTGGATAATCTCTCTTATACTGTCATTTATATTGAAGTCAGCTGTTCTTCCCCTTTGGTTGGTCCTCCTGGGGTAGTTGGTTGCTTGTTCTGCCTACTCCTACTACAGATAACATAACAAAGCAAAAACAAGATTGGCTTTGGAGACAATACAATGCTCCATATTATTCTTACAATAACATCAGCTTATTGAATTGCCACAGTACATCAAAGAGTGACTGCACCTTTCTCTAGTGTGATGCATTGAGTGAAATGGTTCAGCCCCTCCATCACTTGTCTAAATTATAAAATGCTATATTAGAATGGGGATGTGAGGAATATATATTTTTTTCCCTCATGTTGTCTGTAAGTGTAATCTGGACGATCACCTAGAATTGATGTTATATTGGTCTATGCCTAATTCTGCCTGGATTTAGTTATCCCATTCACAGTAAAAGTATCTCAAAAAGGTCTCACAGAATATATAACAATGACTTTTTTTTTTTATTTTAGTTTTGATTTTGTAGATATATTGTACAACTGAAGAAATTATTTTGCAGGCTGGATTAAACAGTTTTTTAGATGCTAAACCGTATAGGGAGCTGTAAGCTAATTGGTGCAGATAATAAATGCTGGAATAGATCATGCAAGTTCTTAATATTTTGGATTATCTTTTGAATTATTTGTGGGTAAAATAACGGGTTTGCTACAGAATTAGTGCAATTTACTGTAGAAGTCTGTGGATAAATATTTTAATCGCAGTGATGGGCTTGCATGTAGTATTTAAAGGCAACAGGTTGTCTTGTATGTTTTGTATATCTTTATGCTTGTGGTAATTTTCTTAATGTTAAATATTCAGATATGTTTTATAAACTCAGTTTTGGATTGAAATCATATAAAGGATATATCTTCTGGTCATAAATATTCAATAGAAGTGGTTAAAATTGTCTTGATAATTGCTGATTTTGGAACCCGTACATAAAAAAATATTATGCAATATTTATTTTCATAATTAGATTGTTTTCACTTGGTTTAATACTTAGAGCCTCTAGTTATGACTAGCTGTTAATGCGTAAAAAAGTATTCAATGTAGTTTTTCAGCACGGAAGTATGGGGTGTTAATATCTACTGTTAAACACCAGGGTTAGGCAATGTAAAATTGAAATCCTTTTCTCATATTCTCTGATTTTTATTACAAAAATTCATTATTTGTTCCAAATTCTTGAAACCTGGATTTAGAGACAGGTTTTCTAGTTGCTGACCAGTCTCTAAATCCTTTCAGATTAGAAGCTGTTTCTTATGTAAATATGAAGAGGCAATCTACACTGTTTAAAAAAAAATAAAGGGAACACACAAACAGCACTATATAACTTAAATTATATCAAACATCTGTGAAATCCAACTGTCCGGTTAGAAGGCAAAACTGATTTAATTTCACGTGTTGTTGTGCATATGGAATAGACAACAGGTGGAAATTATTGGCAGTTACCAACACACACTAAATAAAGGAGTGGTTCTGCAGGTGGGGACCACAGACCACTTCTCATTACCTATGCTTTCTGGCTGTTTTGGTAATTTTTGAATATTGGTGGCGCTATCACACTCTTGGTAGCATTTATTTGGAGTTCACCATGTGCTTGCCAGACGTAGCATGTCTACCTTAGGTACTGACATGAGAACCTGACCCCCTGTGAGATCATACGCTGGTGCGGTTGGCCCTGGTTTCCTCCTACTTCAGGACAATGCCAAACCTCATGTGGCTAGTGTGTGTCAGCAGATCCTGTAAGAAGAAGGCATTGGAGCTATGGACTGGCCTGCCTGTTCCCCAGACTTAAATCAGATTGAGCACATCTGGGACATCATGTCTCGATCCATCCACCAAGGTCACGTTGGACCACAGACTGTCCAGGAGTTGGCGGATGCTTTAGTCCATGTCTCAGGGGAAGTTCCCTCAGGAGACCATCCTTCACCTCATCAGGAGCATTCCCAAGCATTGTTGGTGTCTCCTCCCTTTTTGTCCCACATACACCCCCTATCCCATGTGTGGAGGATCCATTCACAAAGCTGGTGTACAGCTGGCTTTTGTATGTTTTATTCCTTAGCCTTGTTGATACCTTTTGGCTGGATGATGGTTCTAGTAATGGCCATGCCTTTGTTACATTTCCCAATAAAAAATTCACATACCCTTCTGTTGTTTGAACAGCCACCTTGAGGACCACAATGAGCTTTTCTTTTGTTGTTCAAATTTTCATACGGTCTATTAGAAAGTTCCCTGTGATGATATTGGACTGTGCAACTCTGTATTTTTTTTACTGCCTGACAGTTGTTTGATTTCTCTGCTGGATTGACAACCTTTACCTTAAAGTTTCCACCATAAATCTGCCTCAATATCTGCAAACTTGTCCTTTTGATCCACTCACTTCTTGGTAGCGACTCTCGTATCTGAGCAGCACAAAAGCACCTTCTTCCTTTTTGATGCGTGTATACATTAAGTTTTGTAAAGTGTGTACAGATGCTTATGCTGCTCCTGTGTTCAATAGCAGAGAGCAGCTTTGCTATATTTGTTTTGATCAGTGGGTAAAAAGTAGTTTTGATATTTTAATAGTGAGTGTCCACCTCAAAACATCATTTGTGCAGTCAGTTCATCAAGATTGTGGTCCTGCCTGAAAATATTATTTTGTTGTCGGAGGCATGCAGACCCCCACATACCGGTGCTGCGCTGTCACTGGGAATACCAAGCAGCAGCTGCCTCAGACCCGGTCGCCCTTGGCAGATTGGCTACCTGCTCTGGCATCTGTGGGGGACGGATGTGCAGTTATTGGGGGGTTGACGTGTTGCTGGGGGGCACACATGATTGATACCCGCTAGTCTTGAAGTTTTCTGTTGTCTTCTTTTTGCTGTTATGCCCTTTTTTTTTTTTTTGCTCCTCTCATTTCATACAGGTATGGAAGCAGACTTCTATGGGTTACTGTATATATTCTGTGCTGTTTTCTTTGCTGTTTTATTTTCTCTCTTTTCATGCAATCTTTCCTGCCTTTATCTCTTCCTTAGCTCTTATCCCCTCTTTCCTTCTCACCCCCCCTTCAGTCTCCATGTCTGTTGAATACAATTTTACTCAATAATTTTCAATAAAATTAAAAATGCATCTATACAGATAGAAGAGTTTACTGCAAATAATTGAGATGTCTTGATTGATATTGATTTTTGTCTGATATCAGGCATTAAGATAATATCATATTATATCAGCCTGCTCCTCAATCTCCTATATTGGCATGCTAATTAAAATGGTTGTTTTCTGTCTAAAGTTTATGTAACCCATTTGTTAATGATTAATGGATCAGTTGTTGTTGACTGTTGTTTTCAGTTTGAGTAATATCAATTGACAAAACCGTATTTGCTATAGCCTACAATTTTTTTGTTTTTGTTTACATCAACGGACAGAAAACATATTTCGTTTTTATCAACTTTATCAATTTAAGTGGAGGGGAAAACCCCAGGCATCTGCTGTTGGGGTGTGATTGGAGCGGTTCTGTGGGACTGCTGAACTCTAGATAAGCACTTATGTTGATCTAGCAACTAGATGTTCTTATTGGCCTGTAGGAGAATCAGATTGAATAAACAAATCAGTTTGATCTTGATCAGATCTTATTTTCTCTTATCAAACTCTTATTTTTTTAGCATTTAATTCTTTGATTTCACAGTCATATAGAGACTAATATCTTCATCGTATGTGCTGCAGCGTATTGTTTCTACCGTGACAATTAATTTAACTCTATTAATTAGAGATTAGACCATTAGTTTTCAAAGTCTTCTACCAGTTTCCTTTGGTATCTGCTCTGCCAGTTATGATTTTGCCACATAACTACTTAAAAACCCAGTTGGGGTGTAACATTACATTCAGATTAAAAGAAGAGATTATGAACAGTACACAATTCACAAAATTTGGAGAAAAAAAAATTAGAAAAAATTAGGGATGCACGATATAATTGGCCCCCTATCGGTATCGGCCTTAAAACTGAATATCGGACATAGGCCACCCCACCGATATTTAACCCGATATTTGATCAGCTTCTGAGTTTCTAAAGTCTTAAAAAAATGAAAAAATACCACTTCTTCTTCTTCCTCAAAAACTTCTTTTTTACAGACTTAAAAACTTCTAAAGATGAGGGAAAAGATATTGATACATTAAAATATCACAATATCTTCATATGCTGATATATTGCCATTTAAAAACACCATATCAATCTCTTTTACTAATGAAATATTGCTATATGTCATCGTTATGCTACGAAATCCCCCGAAAATTCACGAAATTTTGCAATATTTTAATATGTTGATATATTGACGTGGTATCGATCTATTTTACTAACAAAATCTCACAAGAATT